GAGAGAGAGAGACAGAGAGACAGAGAGAGACAGAGAGACAGAGACAGAGAGACAGGGAGAAACAGAGACATAGGGATGGGACCCATGTGCCCAGAGGCCAAGATTAGGTGGGGCTGGCTGGATTCCAGGAAGCAGTATGCTATGTGCATGCGCAGTTGGGTGAAAGAAGTGATTTAGAAGGGGTTCTGGTAAACTTCCACAGAGCCTGGCTGGCATCTGGGCCCTGAGAAGGGGCCACCCCATGTGCTTCTCTCTGCGGTCTTTTCTGATGCCCCAGGCCCTGCCTGGTGTACCCCACTTTCCTCTTCCCAACACAGCCCCCTCTTCCTCCTTCCCAGCAGTGGGTCATTGCGGCTCTCCTGGCCTCTCTCTTCCTTCCCAAGAGGCCTCTGATTGACCATGTGGCCAAAGGAGACAGGAATAGGACTATTTTGGAGAAAGGGAAGGAAATAAAAGAGAGGAAGGACAAAGCCCAGCTCTCTGCTGCCTTCCTGGGGGCCCTGGTTGGGGGGGCCCATGCCCCTTGAGGGACACAGGAAAAAGTGACAGAGGGTAGTCAGCCAGTCTTGGCGAGGAATCTCCCCCAGCACAAGGTGGCAAGGGGTGGGGCACTGTTATCCCCAGCCAGGCTTAGACCCCAGCCCCTCCCTGCCAGGATGGTTTTTTCCTGTCAGTCTGTCCTTGTGGCTGTCACAATGATACAGCCCTGGGTAGCATTTTCTTCTTTGTTTTGATTTTTTTTCTTTTTGCAGTACCGGGGATTGAACTGAGGACCCTGCACTTGCAAGGCAAGCATTTACTCTACTGAGCTATCTCCCCAGGCTTTCTTTTCTTTGTTTTGAGACAGGGTCTTACTGTGTAGCTCAGGCTGGCCTCAAACTCATGGCGATCCTCCTGCCTCAGTCTCCTGAGTGCTGGGATTATAGGTATGTGCCAACACACCTAACTTTTTTCCAATCTTCAAGCCCTAAGCCATGGCCACAGGAGCTAGCCTCAGAGACCCCTCTCTGCAGCTCCTGCTAGTACTTCCTACCCACAACCACAGGGATCTCCTGGCCCTGGCTGGTCCCCAGCGCCTCCTCCACTCCCCTCTGGAGCCCTTCCTGCTTTGGCCATGGCCCTGACATCACCAGCTCCTGGGGGCTTTCCTTCAAGGTGGCTGGCTCCCGGTCTGTCCTGCCACATGCAAAGCAAGCCCAAATCCTCCCAAACTACCAGAGAAGCTCATTACTTATGCTAAGCCTCTTCTCAGTCTCTGGTGAGGTATCTGTTTGGTACAGGGTCTGGCCATGTAGCTCTGATTCAAAGTGAACTTCCTGTCTCAGCCTCCCCGGCAGTGGGATTACATGTGTGCACCACCATGCCCAGTTTTGGTGGCTGGCACACTGTCCCCAGGGGTGGAGCTGGCACAACATGTAGTACTGGGGATCGAACCTGGGTCCTTGTGCTTTCCAGGCAGGTACTTAGATGGCTGAGTTATCTCTCCAGCTCTCCCACTGGCTTTTTTTTTTTTTTTTTTTTAAGATGGAACTGGGAATTGAATTCAGACCCTTGCGCTTGCCAGGGAAGCGCTTATTCCACTGAGCCATTTCCCTGGCCCCATCCCACTGGCTTTTGATTCTCTCTGGGTCACTGCTTTTCTGCAGGGGGCAGGGTACAGCATAACCGTGCAGCCTCTCAACCTGGAAACCCTGTGGTGGTGTTTCCAACAGTACAGTCCTCCTAGAAGCAGTGGTGCTCCCATGTGACAGTGGCTGTCTCGGAGTCCTGTGGCCAGGGCCCCTGGGCTGTGGGCAGAGGGTCCGGCCAGCAGTCGGCTATGTGGAGCCCCCGGCCCCTGTCTCTTTCCCCTGGTTTCCTGTGTTCCTGGCAGTGTCCTGCATCACTTGAGCAGTCAGAACTGTTGGGGGCTGTGGCGTGGGCTGTTCTGCTTCTCGTGCCCATGGTAGGCAGAGGACGCACAGGTTTGGCATTCTGCATGTGCACATTTGTGGGGTGGTGCCATGCTCCAAGCCGGAGGGACCCAATCTGGGAACCCCAGTTCACCAGGGATCCCCTCACAACACACAGGGTCTCCCCAAACACACAGGGTTTCCCCTACTCTGCTTACTCAGAGCAGGTCGGCAGGGCTCTGCTTCTCCCGGATGCAGAGCGTGGCTGTGGCCCAGTTCTGCTGGCCCTGGCTTTGCCAGTAGCGCTCCTGAGCGACGCAGGCCCAGCCAGCCCTGCTGGCCTGCTCATTGCCCTCTCCCAGGCCTCGGGAGGCCACTTGTTTTCCTGGGGCACGAGGGGCCTGACTCCACATGGACACTCTTGCTTTCTGCCAGCCAGGCACCACACAGCATGTCCAGCTCTGGTGTCAGACACGGGTACCCGCATCCCTTCCTTGGCTTCCCTGCATGCGGTGCCGTCCCCACCCCTCCCCACCCTGCCACATCCTGGGCAAGGTACCTTGTCCCAGTCCACTGCTTTGAGCCTCGGTTCCATCTCAGGGTCCAGCTTCGGCATTTCCTCAGAGGCTGTGGCCCCATTCTCTGTGGGCTCCTGGAAGGAGAAGGCACAAGGGGATGGATGAGGGGGGTGGGGAGATAGCTCAGTGGCTTAAGTGCCTGCCTGGTGAGTGCAAGGTCCTGAGTTCGATCCCCAGTACCAAAAAACAAAACAGAAGAGTGGATGAGGGAAGGGAAGGGCGCCCTGGCTGGCACGGTGTGGCACACAGGAATCCCAGCACGGTGAGAGGCTGAGGCAGAAGAATCACAAGCTCAAGGCGTGTCTGGGCAGCTTAACCTAGCAAGACCCCATCTCAAAATAAAAAATAATAAAAGGGGACAGAGCCCCACGGAGGTCCCTGCGGGCGGCGCAGTCGTGGGGAGGGACGGCGGCCCGACGCTCAGCTTTGCTGCACCACGGCTATGACCAGTGTCAGGTTGTTTGCCGGTGTTCTTAAAAGGCCAAAAACCTGGATTGGACTCTGGGGTGTGCTTCAAAGGACATCTTCACACAAACTCTGTGCTTCCTGGAATCAATATTTATACTTTTCAAGTACCGAGTTGAAGGAAGGCATCAGGTTATAAAACATTTTTCCATACTATTTTATCTCTGAGACTCCCAGCACTTCCAGTATCTCCAGAATATATTTTTCCATTTTTTATAAGACTCAAAAGTAATGTAAGTTCTAAAAAGTCCTCTAAAAAGACTCTGCAAGAAGTAGAAGGTGAGGAGGACTCTAATGAGGAGAGTGACTCTAACAAGAGAAGAAGTGACCAAGAAGAGGAGCTTGAGGACGACCCCACTGTGGTCAGAGACTACAAGGACCTGGAGGAGGTGGTCAGTCCTTTCGGGCCTGGACATTGGGAGGAACCAAGTGGAAGATGCATTCTACAAAGGTGCACTCAGACTGAATGGGGAAAAATCATGGAAGAAAAGCAGAGCGGTAAAAGTGGGAGACACATTGGATCTTCTCATTGGAGAGGACAAAGAAGCAGAAACAGAAGCAGTAATGCGGATTCTGCTAAAAAAGGTGTTTGCAGAGAAGACAGACAGTGACAAGAACCACATGGTGCTACGAGGGTGGAAGAACTTAAAGCTGCCTAAGAAGAATCCATCAAAATGAGTGCATTACTTTTTAGCTCTGAAGCTGCTTTTTAGTGGTAGGAGAGGCCACATAAAAAGACATTTTTATCAGAATAAAATTCTCTTACCATTAAAAAAAATAATAATAAAAGGACTGGACATGTAGCTCAATGCGAAGGCCCTGGGTTCAATCCCCCGTGGGGGGGTGGGGGAGAGCGCATGCTCCATGCAGCCTCTGGCAGGGGAGCTGGGAATAGCGAGAGCTCAGGGTTAGAGCTAGGTGGGTGGAAACCAAGGACCCTCAGTCCTTCTGAAGCATGAGAGGCACTGATGTGGGTGTCATTGTTATTTGTATTTTTCTTTTCCCATTTAGAAAAAGAAACTGCAAAAATAAGAGGTCAAAAGATCTGGGAAAGAATGCCAACTGGCTGGCAGATCGGAGGGTGTGAGAGCAGGTAGTGTGATAATCAGGAAAGGGGGCTCTTGCCTGTCTCCCCTAAGTGCCAGACAAAGCGAGCTACCAGCTGGCACTGAGGCACCTGGCGGGGTGCCCCCAGCCATGCCTGATGGTCCCCTTGCCTCGTTCTGTCTTCCGTCAGTCCAGATTCCAGGCATCACAGGCTGGGACCCCTAGGGCCACTATGCTCACAGGAAAGAAAGCAGCAGGGAGCCAGGGAGACCCAGAAGCCCAAGGCCAGCAGATACCAGCAGGGGTGGGGTTGGAAGGGGTACAGCCAGGTGGGCTCAAGGTTAAGTAGAATGGGAAAGAGGCAAAGTCAGAAGGAAATGGAATGTGCCGGGACAGTCACATGGCCCTGCTGGCTCTGATGTCACGTGGGCTCTGATGTCAGGTAGGCTGAGGCCAGCAGGACAGCACCTGCTGAATGGCTTCCCTCTGAATTCTGTCACTAAAGGAAACCACAGTGCTGGTGGCCCTGGGAAGGTAGGTGCTAGTGGGAAGCCAACGACATGGTTTGAGCAGCCAGTTGGGGTTTCTGTTCTCATGACATTTATGCTTTTGTTCCTAAGGGAACCCAAGGGAACCTGATGGTGACAGTGACTGCGTTGTATCTCAGGGCACTTAATCTGTATCACCATGCTAACCTATGCATTTTTTAAAAAAAGCATCTCAACTCCCTTGACATGAAGGCAGAGTGGAATGAACAGCACCCTACTGGGAAACTCCCTGAACACCTGGAACAGCCTCTCACCTGTCTGGTCGGTCAGTGGCTGAGGATCTTGTTCTAGCCAAGTCTATTTACTTTCAGAGCACCCCACCTCCTGAGCTACTGAGCTGCCCTCCTCCTAGACATTTCTTTTCTTTTCTTTTTTCCTTGGTGGAACTGGGGGTTGAACTCAGGTCCTTGAGCTTGCCAGGCAAGTGCTTATTCTACTGAGCTATCTCCCAGGCCCATTTCTTTTCTTTTCTTTCTTTTTTTTTTTCTTTCTTTTTTGCAGTACCAGGGATTGAACTCAGGACCCTGCGCTTGCCAGGCAGGCACTTATTTTACTGAGCTATCTCCTGGCCCTTAAATATATCTCTTAACGCAGGAAAAGGACACCATAAAGATTTGTTTTGTGAGCACTCCCTGTGCGTGTCATCTCAGTTCAAGCTGTTGATGTGGGACTTTACAATCTGTCTGGAACCGGAAGTAGATCAATGTTCACTTTGCCCCAGTTTTTGTTTTTGTTTTTGTTTTTTTTTTTTTTAAAGGAACTGGGGATATGGCTCAGTGGAATAAGCGCTTCCACTGAGTTTGAAGACTTCTCAAAAATTACTGAAAATCTAGTTTCAGTAAAAGTGGAAACAGAACTTTTAAGTCTTTTCCATTCCATTGGAAATACTTTAAGGAAACCACACAGGTCTGTGCTTCCCTCCCGGGAGTCTGGAGACAGGAGCGTGGCATCCCGCAATGAGAGCGAGACAGTGGTGTGTGTGTGTGTGTGTGTGTGCGTGCGCACACACATGTACACACATGCATGTATGCGTGTGTGTCTGTGTGCCCACCCTTGTCCCACTGTCTGCCGCCCCAGCCTAATCACACCTCCAGGTGCCTGGGCCCAATGGGAACAATGTCACTAGTGATACCCTTTTGTCAAATAAACCCTGGAGTGACTAGAAGCAGGTGCTTTCTTGGTGGCCTACAGGGCCACACCCCTCCTTGGCACATGACTGAACACACCCCAACACTGAAGGAGATGCCAAGGAGAGCCAGAGCTGGGAGTAGGTTCACATCACTGCCAGCTAAACCTTCCTAGGGAAGAGCAAGTGTCCTCCAGCACGTCTCGCCCTCATTCTCTCCAGTCTAGGTGTGGGATTCCAGGGGCTCTCAAGCCCTTCTCCACCTGAGCCAAGCACGGTGGTGCATACCTATAAGTCCCAGCACAGCACGAGAGGCCGAGGCAGGAAGATTGCAGCAAGTTCAAGGCCAGTCTAGGCTATGCGCTGAATACAGAACACAGACCCTATCTCAACAAACAACAGCAAAGACCTTCGCTACACATATGGGAGAGGCCACAGGAACCATCTTGACAGGAGCAGCTGCGCCACACCCAGCCGTGCAGATCTGGACCTTGGTTCCTAGGCCTCCAGACACCAGGTTTAGTTTCTTGTTGAACTGGGTTCACCCTAGTGTTCTGCAAGCGAACATCATCCCTGAATCACAAGTGTGTAAAAGGTCACCTCGAGGAACTAGAGAACCCTGGCTTTAAAAGGCTTTTAACAAAAGTTTCCTGGAAATTTCCACAATACATTATTTAAGAGATTCTTGATGAGAGTCCAAGGGACCTTTGAAACTTTCTGATATATAATCAGAAAGAATCCCAACACCAAGGAAACATGTGTGCACCCCTAGCACTGGGAAATTGTCTGAGGGGCACTTTTTTGGGGGGGGCACCTTTTTTTTTTTTGCGGAACTGGGGGTTGAACTCAGGCCCTTGCACTTGCCAAGCAAGCACTTATTCTACTGAGCTATCTCCCTGGGCCCCTTTTTAACAAAACATTTTTATTCATTTTAATTAGGACACCTTTGGATTGGGTAAACTTCAGTATCTGCTGAGGGTGGTGAGTAATTCTGTGATCATACTTATATTGGCTTTTACCAGAATGATTAACACAGATGTCAATGAGCAAGCCCTGCAGGAGTGTCTGCCCCATCTGTGTCAGGTGACAGCTTCCTCACAGGGTCCACCTGAGCAATAGGAGTCAGTCCCGGGGCAACCAGTAGGGTGCCAGAAGCTAGGAGCAGTGGCCCATGCCTGTCATCCCAGCAGTCTGGGAAGATGAGGCAGGAGGATTTTGAGTTCAAGTCCTGCCTGGTAACCTAAGCAATTTAGCAAGACCTTGTCTCAAAATAAAAAAATCAAAAACAGAAAGCTGGAATGCAGCTCAGAGCAAAGGTATGGGATTCAGTCCCCAGGAGGTCTGGTGCTTGGGCTGAAAGCATTTCTCTCGCTCCATCTTCTACCTGTTGGTTTCCCCCCAAGTGAGATGCCAGCTCCCTGAAGTAGACCCGGCTCTGTGCCCACCCTGAGGTCCGGGCATAGGTGAACCACTCAGATGCTTGCTAGGTGATCACACTTGTGAGGAGCTAAGTGGCCTGCAAAAACGGAAAGGCCACCATGGGGTGTCAGGGAGCCAGACAGAGGCTGCCGGTGCCTTCCACGGCCGGTGTTTACACGGAAAGAAGGGGACAGGTACAAGAAGCCACCAGTATGACCTGCCAAGAGGGCACAGCAGTCACTGCACATTCCCTGCTGAGGCAGTGGGCATGCTGAGCAATGTAGTGGGAGGGTGAGGAGGACGCTGTGACCTCCTTGGGTCCTTCCAGCCACAATCTGAGGACACACAGACAACAGTATGAGCCACGGGCTCTGCAGCACAACACCAGTGCCTGGCTGGTCACGAGGTGCTGCAGGCTCCTGTCATGGCAACGGTTCCGCTTGCCCCCCTGCCCCTCTGCACGCCCTCT